AAATTTCTTATTTTTAGGAGGCCCAAGGGGATAGGTAACCAAGCCAGATAGACTTAAAATTCATTATTTCTGGCCTATTTCGAGCCAGTTTGTTTACTTATTTTCTTTTTTAGTTCAGTCTTGACACACAGACAAATGTGTACCAACTGTCTACTTTTTATATTTGGGTGAATACCTGGAAGTGGCGTGTGGTGAAAAGCAAGGATGCTGTGAAAGGACGGTAAACTTACTGTTAGTTTTCAAGTCTACCGGCCAGCCCCTCTCTACTCCAACTGGAAAACATTGGGGTACTGTATCTCACTCTGTCACCTTTTCTGATTGTGTCAAAGAGTGTGTTCCATCCCTCCATTTGACTCTCAGTTCATTCCTCATATGTTAGCTGTCCTATTTTGTTCTTTTCCTAATGTTGTCTTTTACACTTAAACTTTCCACTTCTTTTGCTTTGATTCCCTTCGATGTGTTAAAACCACAGGGTGACAAAACTCACACAAGCCTTCAACTTTACTGAAGAACAAGAATCATACATGCTTTCTCAGCTACATGCCTTTCAATTTCTATTTGTGTGTGTGTGTGTGTGTGTGTGTGTGTGTGTGTGTGTGTGTGTGTGCGTGCAGTTGTCCCCAGAGGGAAGAAGAGTCAAATTTCCTGGAGTTGTAATTGCAGGTGCTTATGAGAAACCTGATTGGTTCAGGAAAACTAAGTTGGGTTCTCTAGAGGAATAGAATGTGTATTAAGTCTCTGAGCCATGTCTTCAGCCCCCAATCAAAAGAAGTGATGCTCATACCTGTCCCCTTGATTATGGAGTTATTGTTCTGTTTCTGATAATTCAGAGGTCCTGCTCTGCAGTTTTACCTTTCTGAATGATTTCATATCCTGTGAATATAAAGTTATCTAGCAAATTCTGGAGACACAATCTTTTAACTTTTCTTTCTTTTCTTTTCACAAATAGGACTACTTATTTGTCACTATTAAAAGTCTGGATTTTAATCAGGTTCTTGGACTCAGTTCATACCCATCTGCTCATTCAACTTCAGCAACTGCCTCACCATCGGTAGTTTTCCTAGAACTACACCTTCAGCATGGCTCTCCATGAGTTCTCTCATCTCCAACATGGAATTCTTCAGCATTTTTACTTTTCTGATGAAAGACATCATGGAGAGAGTAAATGGACTGACAAGTTTCCTCTGTCTTTCCCATTGCTTTCTGTGACCAGTTTATTCACCATTTCCTTCTAGCCATTTGTTGGCACGGTCCCAAGTCATGGTCTCCATCATCTTCTTCCAGATCTGAAGGACCTGCTGACACTGAACACAGGACATCTTACATATCGGGTTGTTGCTTTTTATTTTTTTTAAGTGAAACTAAGCCAGAATGGACAGAGCAAACAACCACCAGTTGCCATGACATCAGTATGAGCTTGAATCATGGTATGCTCATCTGCTTTTTAACCATGGAGCACATTTCGTCCTGGGTATCATCCATGCCATGGAGGTTAGACAGTTTTTGCCTTGCACCTCCTCAGTAACTAGCTTAAATTTTCTAAATACAACTTTGTTACTCTGTAGATCAGCAAAGCTTATCTCAAAAAATGACCCTTGAGGCCACCTGATGCAATTTTGGTTCCTTGAAGCCCTATGCCTAGTGTTTCTTCAATGTTTTCTAATATTGAACATAGCCAGAGCTTCTATCATAACAGTCTTTCTTAGAAAATGGACCAAGCACTTTCTTCTTAGCTCCCTCCTTGCTGCCTTTCACCAGGCATGTGTTCTTGCTGACCTCCAGGGTGCTGCTCAGAGAGGCAATGTGGAAAGAACAGGAAACTTACAAGAGAATTTAGATGAAGCTGGGCAGGACTAACTTTTATTTCTTAGTAGACAATAGAACCATGCTTTCAAAAAAAAAGGAATTTGGATGATTTCCTCTTTTATGTCATATACCATAGATCTGTCCACAGAAAGTAGGTCTCAAATTGGGATCGGCTGTGTATCTTACCAAAGTTAAAGAGCAGGGGGCATCTTGATACAGCTACAGTTCCTAACATCATCATAATCACTATGAGTACTGTTTGTATTAACTTCAGTGGTGCATGCAAAGAGACTGGTTTGCCTAATTTTGAACACAGAGGTTTGACACTGAGAAAAGAACACAACGCGTAGCTACATGGTCTCACCCCAGGGTCACAAACACTTTCTATTGTCCTCAATGTGGTGCCCACATGTTTCCTTTCTTTCTTTTCTCCCAGCTAGTTAAATCTTAAGCAAGAGAATTTGGAGGAAATGAAAGGGGGACAACATGAACTATTTTCTCTTCTCTTATGGCATTTAGAGCATGCGCCAATGGGTTGAAGTTGTGTGTCTATGTGAGCATATGTGTGTTTAATAAAGAAAATAAACAAAACACTTTGTTACTGTTCTGACTAGTTATTTCTGTTTGCATGAAGCAGTTTTAAATCTTTTGAAGCAATGACCAGCTTCATCTACTATAAAGGATCATGTGTACAATTCATTTGTATAGTACACTATCCTGTAAAGTATATATGTGTTCATGGGATACTAAATAAATGTCCAATGGAATTTCACTAATGGAAAATACTTAAAAAGTGAAAATTGTTTTCCGTAGGCGTCACTTTGTAGAGACACAAAAAGTTACCCAATATTTTAAAGTCAAACTCAAGGAATTATCTATTCAATATTAATGGTCATAATGAAACTTTGCAGTGAATGAATTGAAATTAGGATAAATTGGATATTCAAGAAAATCAGAGGGTTTTGAAACTTGAAAAAATACTTTGAAGACAATTTGGGCTAATTGCTAAGTCTTACCAAAAAACAAGAACCAAAGAAAATAAAAATACACATACAAAGAAGCGTCTTCCCTTCCTTCCCCCTTCCTGTTCCTCTCAGCCCCCTCCATTTCCTCCTTCCCTTCCCAAGTACCAGAAACAAAGGTAAGATAACTGAGATTCAGGACAAACTTTCTACCCTCCTCATAGGAGCAGCTTTGTCCTTATGCTCTACATTGACCTCCATAGCAGAAGTCTTTCTCCAGAAACCTGTGGTCAAGTAACAACCATCTCAGTCATTCGCTTCTGGAGATCAACTGCTCATGGGCAGATGTAGAGATCTTTTCAGATGAGAGATAATTATAATCAATCTCTTCTTGTTTCTCCATATCATTTCTTTTGTCTCTCCAAATTATATACATCTGGGTTTTCTTTTCTTTCTTTCTTTTTTTTTGTTTTTGTTGTTTTTTTGTTTTTTTTAAGTCTATCTCCCTTTCCAGATCTAGAGAAATCTAGTAGTTAATAGTAATCCTTGTAGATATCCAATAAATGACAACTAGTGTTATCTTAGACATAGCTTTGTTCAGAAAAGAATTCACTGTGGACTTGCATGAGGGAATTTGTTCTTAAAGCTTATCTTCATCATATAAGCAATAGATTTGCCACATGTGGGCAAAATTCTGTGTCAGGAAGGTATGTGGTCATGTGCAGGCTCCATCTAGCTTGACTCCACAAGCCGGGGGCTCCTTACCCTGGACTCTCTGTCATGTTATTTAACCAGCTGAGAGAAGCAGCCTCACCCTCCTCTATGCCAAACAGGATTCTTCTGTGGCAGAAGACAGATACTGACAACATTAATCTACAAAAGAATGTACTAGAAAGCCCGAAGGAAAAGCTAAAGACACAAGACTTGTCACTTTTTCTAGCAGTGAGTGGAGGAATTTTGTTGACTATGTGACCACCTTGACATTCAGATTCTATGAAGATAGCTTAATTAGGGCAAATCCAGGTCTCAGGATCAGTTCTTGAAGTGAAGAAATCTCATGAATGTCCTGTCAGTCCTACCACACTACTGGGCATTGATGGTTCCTGGCAGTTTTCCAAAAAGACAGAAACGGAAAAGAAAAATCAGAACAAAACAAAACAAAAAGCAGAAAGAAAACGGAAAAGGATAGAAAGCGGTCAACGCAGCAGATACCCACCATCCTTCCTTATGAGGTGATCAGTTATGGAAAGGCAGGCTAAGAGGTGAGTATTAAGTGTGTCTAGACCACAGCTCAATGATGGGACCAATAAAATGGATACTAAAATCTGGCGTTGCCTAGTAGTTTAAGTCAGACCACTCAGTAGCGTTTTTTTCTTTGAACTCGGTCCAGAACTTCCCAGACCCTGAGTAGGACATGAGCAGCTGCTCTGTTAAGCATCTCTCTCCAGTTGCAGAATCATCCTCCTACGCAGTCTCCTGGCCACACCTACTTTGTACTAAACTCTCAACTCCAAAGCTTTTTCTCCTGCAACACCTTTGTTTTGATTGGACGATGAATCAAAAGCTGCTGAATGCTTTATTGAATTTCAGTACTTAACATTGGTAATTTGATTTAAAAATGTGAAGTCAAACCTCCTTATCAGACACAAGAGAATGCAAAAAGTCAGAGAAAAGATCTACTTGAAGGGACCTCTGAGCACTGCCTAACCCTTCTGGCTCTCTGGTACACAGTAGGGATGAAAGGATTCTTGTCACTTCAAGTGCAAATTGGGCTGGTTCTTGTCGGGTTTATTCACTTTTTCTACGTAGCAAGCTTTGTTCCCTGAAAATTTTCACTTCGGTTATTAAAATATTCACTGTAGGAAACAGATTTGTAACCCATTTCTCATATTACCTACAGCCAGAAAAACAAAATTTGATATCCTGGGGTTTATTCGCTGAGGGCGCTTCCCATAAAAGTGGGGTGAGTGTGCATTGGGAAATTTGTCTGGTTAACTCCTTTATGGATAAGCGTTAGCCACAGCCTTCCCCATCCCAACGCACACAGTTTGGCCCCCATCGCTCTCCCCACCTCCTGCTTCCCGCCTCTCCAGGGCTGGTGACCTAATAGCATTTTTCTTCATGCATATTTTGGCTTGAGCCCATGGCCTGGCTGCCTTCGTCTGTCTGAGTCTTTTGAAATTCCTGCATGTTCGGCCCAGATTAAGTCGAGTGTGTCTCAGGATGTGTGTTCCGTTTTGTTCTCTCCCCTTAACTCTCCCTGTGCAACGTGTCTGGGGAGGAGGGGAGGGGGCGGGGAGGGGAAGGCAGGCAATGGGAGGGGAGGGGAGGGAGGGGCAGCGTGGAGGAGCTGTCCGCCTTGCACGTTTCCAATCGCATTACGTGAACAAATAGCGGAGGGGCAGCGGGGCCAGAACGGCTTGTGTAACTGCAAACTTGTCAGAAAGTTTAAAAATCTCTCCTCCTTCTTCTACTCCAGACACTGTGCGCTCTCCGGAACCGTCGTGCGCTGCTCCCCGTCGCCTCCCAGGACTGGGAAGGGGGAGAGGAGGACGGTGCCACGTCCGACGGCCGCCGGGGTTGGGGGCAGGGTCTGCCGTTCGCCCTTGGCACGACTCCCTGCGACCCATCCCCGCGCCTCGCCCTCCCCCTCCCTGCTCGAAGAGGTCTCCCTCCTTCACGGGATCTGAGTCCCGTCTTCATTTTTTTTTTCTCCTAGCCACGTCCTCCACGAGAAGGGACAAGCCAGGGAGCACCATGCGCTTCGCCTGGACCGTGCTCCTCCTGGGGCCGCTGCAGCTGTGTCCCCTTCTCCGCTGCGCCCCGCAGAGCCCGCGTGAGCCGCCCGCCGCCCCGGGTGCCTGGCGCCAGACAATTCAATGGGAGAACAACGGGCAGGTGTTCAGTCTGCTGAGCCTCGGGGCGCAGTACCAGCCTCAGCGACGCCGCGACCCCAGCGCCACTGCCCCGAGACCCGACGGCGACGCCGCCTCACAGCCGCGCACGCCCATTCTGCTGCTGCGTGACAACCGCACCTCTTCTGCCCATGCGAGGACGTCAAGCCCGTCTGGGGTCGCCACGGGTCGTCCCCGGCCCGCCGCCCGCCACTGGTTCCAAGCTGGTTTCTCGCCGTCGGGGGCTCGCGATGGAGCCTCACGGCGTGCGGCGAACCGGACTGCATCGCCACAGCCTCCGCAGCTGAGCAATCTGAGGCCACCCAGCCACATAGATCGCATGGTGGGCGACGACCCCTACAATCCCTACAAGTACTCCGACGACAACCCCTATTATAACTACTATGACACGTATGAGAGGCCCCGGCCCGGGAGCAGGTACCGACCTGGATACGGCACCGGTTACTTCCAGTACGGTAAGCACCCCTAGGTCCACGGTAGGTACCGGCCACCCTGGCCGCAGGTCGGTGCTGTCTAGACGTGGCGGTCTGGGCGCGGCGGCGGGATCCGGTCCCGCAGACTCAACAACCCCCCCCCCCCCGCCGCCGCCGCCCCCAGCCTGTCCCGCCAGCTCTGGAATCTGATGGAAACCGAGAGCTCCTGGCCCCAGCAGCTTCCTTTTCCCTTTCCTTCCTAGCCCGACTTTCCCCGTTCTTCCACACACTCAGTCCCACCCTGCAGAATTGGTGGGCGAAAGGTGACAAACAGGATACGGGAGTCAAGAGGTCATCAGCTTGTCTTATCTTTAGGTCTCCCGGACCTGGTGCCTGACCCCTACTACATCCAGGCATCCACGTACGTCCAGAAGATGTCTATGTACAACCTGAGATGCGCTGCGGAAGAAAACTGCCTGGCCAGGTATATGGATTTCCAGGTTTTGATCCTGGGATCCCTCCTGTGCCTAGTTTTGACTGCTATTCAGCGCAGACAAGGGCTAGGAAGTGGGACAAGGACTGGGAAGTGGGACGTGACCTCCTGGGCATGCTGACTTGGAGAGAAAGTTAATTTGGAATGTTTTTATGGGTACCGCCTCAATGAGAGTCTCATATGGGGGAGGAGAAAAAACCCTTATTCTGGTGACTAGGTCTCAGATTCTTTCCCAAGATACCTATTAGGCATTAACGCCAACTTCTTCCAATAACTTTATATAAAACATAAGTTCAACAACCAACAACATGGTGTGGAGGGGGGGGGCGTTAGCGGGGAGGTGGGAATGAAGAAAGCATTTATTATTCTCTAATGGTTTAGGGGTGTATTCGTCACGGTGTCCCCCTCCTCTCATTGGTAAAGAGTACATTCCACACTTCTTTCAGGCCGTGATTAACTGGGTTGTTTTGGTATAAGACCACAGTCAAGAGTTTTGTTTTCAGTCAGTCCTAAAATAAAATAGCTATTCTGGTCTCGGAATTCTTTGATTCTGCAGCTGGCCACCAGTAGAGGGAGCACAAGATGCTTGCGTGATTCTGGTAGTATGCTAAGTAAAATGGGTCATTAACATTCTAACACAGAGAGACCTTTTAAAAATATAGTAGCGTTCCAGGGATGTTTATATGAACCTTTATTCCATGTTGACATTTTACAACAGTCGGGCTAAGGGAAGAAATTCAAGCTTGTTTGCGTTCCTTATGGCATGGTCCACAATATCGAATGCCAAAAGATATTAAAGAAACACACTCAGTTTGGTAGTTGTCAAGTATAAAGTTATCTATGTAAAGCTAGGTATATGGTTTTAGAGTATTTCTCCACTTTATATCTTAGATAAACTAAGTTATTAGATATTTATGGATCTTTTGGCATGGGATCATTACTATAGCAATTTTATAGTTTTTAGATGAAGAGTCTCTATAATCTTTTTAGTATAAATCTTAATCTCAGTCTCTCTGGGCTTTTACTGTTATCCTTCATGCACTCATTCACCAGATAGTCACTATGTGTCTATTCTTCCAGGATTGGAAAGGAGCTCAGGATCGTCTCCTTGAGTTGAAAGGCTAGTAGGGGAGGGAGGATGACAGGACCATGTGATGGCAAGCTGTTCTTTCTATTTTGTTTTTCATCCATGTACAGTGGATCTAATGTTTCTTTTCTAAACTCACAGTTCAGCATATAGGGCGGATGTCAGAGACTATGACCACAGGGTACTGCTACGATTTCCCCAAAGAGTGAAAAACCAAGGGACATCTGACTTCTTACCAAGCCGCCCTCGGTATTCCTGGGAGTGGCACAGCTGCCACCAGTAAGTGGATGGGCCTCTCATGTGGGACGCTCTTAAATTTTTCAGATGGCCATTCATATGTCTTACTTGAGGCTAGAGATCTGATCTTATTTATACTTCAAACTTTTTCTATGAAGTGTGATGTCATCAGAGGATGTTAAACCCTAAGATAGCCTCTTTACCACTAAATTAATTGGAAACTGTAAGTCAGACTCATTAAAACTATTGAGAGGACAGAGAATGACTGTCAATAGAATTTACTTTTATGTTAAAGTGTCTGCTGTAGGCAAGACCATCTGCAGTTGGTTAGCCTTAAAAGGCATTTAATAAAAGCATGGCATATTTTACCTAAAGGATTTAGAGACTAGTCTCAATGAAAGATAGACTTCAGGACCCAACTCACTTCTACCTTTTGAAAGGCCCATGTTAACCCCAGAGTGGTTGCCCTACCCTTTCTAAATGTAACAGTTTTAATTTTTAAATTACATGTGGTTATGCCATCACTTGCCTAGGTAATGTGCTCAAGTAGTCAATGCCAGGAAATCATGATGTGTGGTCTCCCACTTACAGAAATTCAAACCCATTCTCATTGTAACTCCTCCCTCACACGAGAAGAGAAAGAGCTCAAAGCCTTCTATTTAAGGAATAGGTAAAATGGACTTTAGCCACATAATTATGTATTAAAATAAAAATATTTTATTTTGAAATAAAAGTTCCCACTACTTAAATAATAGTGATAACGATCATGCCGTTGCTTCCCCTTCGCATTTCCAGAGATTTTATGAATGTTGCAACTGTAGGTTTTAGAATCTCAGAGCAAGCCTTCCAGAGTATAGTTCTTGTTTGAAATCACATCACCAATATCAGCAGTGGCAGTCAGAAATATACCAGAAACTGCACAGGTTACAAGCACAGATAAACAATTGTCTATATTTAATGTTCAAACATAAAACCAGCATAAGGGAATAGATATCACTCTGTCTTTTCCATGTAGTAAAGTTAAAACCTTGTTCTTTTAAAAGTGTGTGGCATGAATATCTCTTTAAGAAGATAAACTTGGGAGCCAGGCATGGTGGCACATGCCTTTAGTTCCAGCACTTGGGTGGCAGAGGCAGGCAGATCTCTGAGTTCAAGAGTCTACAGAGTAAATTCCAGGATAGCCAGGCTACACAATTTCAAGAGGAAATATATATTTGCAGAGGACCCAGATTTGATTCCCTGTACCCACATGGTGGTTCACAAATCACCAGTCCCAAGGGATTAGAAGCCCCCTTCTGACTTCCTCTGTCACCAGGCACAAAAATGGTACACACACTACTTGTAGACAAAACATTCACACACATGAAATAAATAAATCTTTAAAAAACACCCAAGAAGATAAGTTTATTCTTTTTTAACTTGTAAGCACAACACAAGGAAGTTATTTAGCGTGATGTTTTTTTCTATGTGCCACTGATGGCTGTGTCTTTTTTTGTGTGTGGGACATTAGACATTACCACAGCATGGATGAATTCAGCCACTACGACCTGCTTGATGCCAACACACAGAGGAGAGTGGCTGAAGGCCACAAAGCAAGCTTCTGTCTGGAGGACACATCCTGTGACTATGGATACCACAGGCGCTTTGCATGCACCGCACACACACAGGTAGGCTGGTACCCTGACATCAGGAGCACACTGACATCCAGAGAAGATGGCAACAAATCCTTCCCTGCTTTCCTCCAGTCCTTCTTTTTTAAAAATATTTTGTTTCATTTTAAGGTTACCTTATCAACATAGAAAGTAATTAGAAAAAGGCAGGTGACTGGGTTGTGCTTTTAAAGTGTTTCCAGCTGTACGTGTAACCCCTGCTGGAGATCACAGGAGGTCAACGTGAATCTTTTCTACACAACACAGTGAAAAGTAGTTAACTTTCCCAATACACATGAATAACTTGTAACATCTACCTTCATCCTGTGTTCTTCAATTGGCTGTAATAACTGATGGCAATATACATCTGTTTTCTCACCTGTAAAACCATTTTGTTTTCTACCTTCATGCTTAATATGGAATAGTGCCTAAAGTTAGAACAAAGAGTTGGAGCCAGTTTCTTAAAAATACTTTAAACGGCATCACTTTTAATAATGCAAATAAGAACAGAAAGACACATTTCTTACTCGGCACATGTATATTTAAACCTCCTGTGTAATTAATGTCAGATGTCCTCTGGATGGATTTGTTTTTAATAGTGCTGAGTTAAGCGCTATTGTATGTCTTAGAATTGGAAAATGTGTGTCAGTTAAAAGCTATGTCAGTATTTCCATCCAAAACCCTAATTTGTAAAAGGACATTATAATTTTACTCCAGCCTAGCTCTTGGCACGTAGTTCCTGAATGTACATTACACAGGGCACAAAGACATCAGTGGCTGTCGTCTTGGGAAGCAGATTCCAGGACTGTGGCCGGAAGCTTTTTGGTGACCTACATGTGGTGACCATACTTCTTTCCTCTGGGCTTAGCTCATCAAAGTGGTTAGACAGGGAAATAGTTATATTTAGCATAGGTTGGGAGGGGCAGGACACATGCTTTAAGTGAAAAATGTAACACACCCATATATTAAGCATGTACCCATGCAGAGATTGCATTCTCATTCAGTGATCACCTCAAGAGGACCTGGAGCATGTTATTTTCCATGTTCTTAAAATAACACAGGTTGATCGTCTCTCTATAAGTTAGAACACTTGCGCGTGTGTGTGTGGGGGGGATACATATTTCAGCCACAGAGGCAGAGACATCCCTATCACTCATGTAATCTCACTTTTTTTAAAATGTGGTAACTTTCTTATTTATCTTTCTCTGTGCATGCCTTAAAATTTCTTCACTAGGTCGTGCATTGTAAGTGATTTATGTATTTCTGACTTTTTAACAGTCTTTTGAACAGACTTGATTTATAGAAAAACTATTCACATAGTCCTCTAATATTGACTTTTATTAGTTTTGTTATACTATTAGTGTCTTCCTTAAATGTATATAAGCATATAACTAGGTATAACTTATGCATATATTAATATATAAAACCATGTGTTCTAAGATCACAAATTTACATACAAAATATATGCACAACTAAAAATAGTCACATCACACTCATTGACAAAATGAAGCAAACAGGTATGTTTTGCTGAAACCCATCAACACATTTAGATAATTGATAATTGAATGAAGTTATATTTTAAATTTATTTTCACATTTGACTTTGAGTTCATGAAATGTCTACTTGCTTAACAACCTTGGCAATATTAGGCATTTGTTTGTTACTTCAAATAAACAAAGCTCAAAATTAACATAGCCTGCCAGCTGGTGAACTGTAAAGTAACAGTGTCAGCCAGCTGTTTGTGAGGCGTGCGAACACACACATGCACACGCGCATACACACACACACACACACACACACACACAGGTACTTTTAAGATTGTGTAACCTAGGCTACTGTCAGATTCAAGAGCTTAAGTTGTTGTCTAGCAATTGGAACTATAGGTGTGGGCCAACAGAGCTAACATCAGCATTTTCCAAACACTTCATTCATTGACAGTTGCATTACTTATATCTGTCTTGGATGGATATCTAATCCAGTGCACAATTTAGAGTCCTGTGTGAGATAGCAGTAATGGTTGTGGCATTAGCTACTGCTTGCTGAGTGCCTTTGGTGGCACAATCAGAGAAGGATATGGTGGAACCAGACCAAAAGTTCTTCCTTTTGCATGTCCTGTTCAAAACATAACATGAGAACGGACGTAACTGGGAATCCAGGTGATTATGGCTCTTGCTCCTGTGGTTCAAGTAATTTCGAGTTGGCCTGTCTGTGCTGTCCTGTGCTAAGGACAGAAAACTTTCTCACGCTTCCCAAATCCAGCTGCAGCCAAACCCACATCTCTAAGTACGTAGAGATGTTTTTGCTATCTTTGTTGACCAAAATGACCTTAAGCTACAAAGCAAATTTAAGTGACATTTTTTTAAATGACACTGCTGAGTTCAAGGGATTGTCCCATACACTATTGAATCAATTGTGGATTATTAGAATGGAAGTGCAACAGTTGAAAGGTCTCATGAGGAAATAAGAGGATACTCATTGCCCCCACTAGAAGGAAATTTCTCTAGACTCGTGATAGGAAGAAGTGTATGTTCTTGGCATTTTTCTCCTGGCAGCCTTGTGAGATGCTCACTGACTTGCTGGTGGGAATGTCTTAGCAAGTGGACTGATGCAGCTTTGAGAATTGGGCATATATCTTTCCTTCAAACTCAACAAAGATCTCACTGATTATTTGAGAAAAAGAATGTGATGGTTGAGAAAAGGTATCCTGGACCTTGTTAATATAATTCTGAAAATCAGTCACTGTCCAGATGTTTGCTCCTGAATCAGTTATTTGATTTTAGCATGGCTCAGGTTCCCTGCCTATAAAGTGGAGAGAGTAACATACCTATCTCATGTAGTTGTGGGAGCTGACTTATAATATCTAGTTCTTTCTTCTAAAGCTGCAAGGTTGTAACATGGAGTAATGTGCCCTATTTCTGAAGTCAAGTAATATATTTGAAATGGTTTTGGTTAATAATATATGCTAGTTGTTCAAGGATGCAACTAGTCTGTACCTCCTACCCTTAAGAGGATTTCAATATAGAACAGAAGAGGATGGATGCTGCAAAGCTACACAAGACAAGATACCGATACCGTGGCCATTCAGAACAGAGGAAGGTCATTGCAGGTAGTCTCACTGATAGGACACTGGAATCCCTGATGTGCTTGCTACCCTTGAATTGTGCTGGTGGCCTATTTGATTGCTTAAGACTGTTTTCCACTGGTGACTTTAGCAGCAGGGCATATTACTTCATGTTCCAACCTTGCAGCTTTTGAAGAACTAATATTATAAGACTGGCTAAGGTGTGTTATGGTTCCCAATTCTTGTAGGTACTAAATCAAGGTTCATTTACAGATAATATCATATAGAGAGTCTGACCACACCCTACCACTTAATTTTAAAATGTTTTCTGATTTCAGGGATTGAGTCCCGGATGTTATGATACCTATGCGGCAGACATAGACTGCCAGTGGATTGATATTACAGATGTACAACCTGGAAACTACATTCTAAAGGTAGAGCCTTTGAAGACATGTACTTTACTACTACAGTTTAATGCACTCTCTTTTTCTGGATTCAAATATTAAATAACTATGTACTTGAAAGTAATTAAACACCCTTCAGAATAATTTTTAAACAATCCACAATATGATGTTTTTAAAGAAGAACTTAGGGAGATTTACACAGCTTCCTTTTGTAATATATCCAGTATGTTCAACTACCTGATTTACTTAAACTCTTTTTCTGGCTGGATGTAGCTGAGCCCCTTGTTATTAATTTCACTGTAGCAATATAAAAATAGGCGGGAATAACAGTATTCACTGAGTATGAATTCTTTCATACCATGCCATTTTTCTCGTTCAGGTCAGTGTAAACCCCAGCTACCTGGTGCCCGAATCAGACTACAGTAACAATGTTGTACGCTGTGACATTCGCTACACAGGACATCATGCCTATGCCTCAGGCTGCACAATTTCACCGTAAGTATTATCTGACAAGCTAAGTGATATTTTTTCTTTACAAAGATCTTCTTACTTGATTTTAACAAGCTGTATTGATCAGATGGAAATATAAAGTTAATCAAAGTTAATTAATCTTAATAAAGTAAATGTCATACTTAATTTATGAATGAGAAATAAATGCTCAGAGGAGGAAACCCCCTCACCTGGAGGGCAATCATACTTGCTTCTTACTCTGACTTTCACCTCTAAGTTCAGAAGAAAGAGAGATTTCCTCAGACCGTGATTGGAGAGTGCCTTCAGGACAGCATGTGGGTTTGGCTCTGAGAGCTCTCAAGTCCAGAAGTAGAGCCACGAACAAGCATGCTTGTAGGAGTCAGAGTCATGGGCAACTGCAGGGCAGGAGTGAGTTGCAGGCAGTGTTTGCAAAGGCAGCTTCCAGTTGATTTTGTCAGCTGCATGCCGATCAACAGGATAACTGAAGAGCAAGCTAAGAATTTTGAGTTTCTTTCTGGAGGCCACGAGAAATCTGACATTTTTTGAGCAGGAGTGTCGTGCATCTGAAGCTATGTGGACAATCTGATAGCTATGAGTGTATGACCTCATGCTGTCATTACAGGCTTCCCCTCTCCTCCGACTCTAATGATATGTCACTCTTAGTTTAAGACTGGTTGTTTTTCATGCCAGTCAGATATTTGAAACCATTCTGGTGGGATGTAAAATCCACCCAATAATTTGGTGTGTTCCATTCATGTAGCCTCTTCTCAGTTTTCCTAGATGTCTCAGGCCTTTTCCACTTCTGCAGGGCTATGACTGGGCTTTCTCCTCACGAAACTTGTTGTGTAGAAATTACCAGTTTATGATTTGCCCCAAAGGCATTCTTCCTTATATGACAACCAGTGATCAACATTTCAACTTAATGATACCTACTTTGTGGTTTCTGTTCCTATCTCTGCCCATTAATGTGTCATTCTGTACCCAGAAGCATGCAGACAGAGAAGGACAAATGCAAGATAGTCCAGAAATCATGAGTATGCTTCCTGGCGAATGTGTCACTCTTGTTAGAATGAGCTCACCTGCTTGGGTGCTGGATCCATAAGTCCTGCTTGACTTTTTCTCATTTCAATTTTATTTTTATTCATTTATTTACTTGTTTTGTCTTTTAAAAATTCAGACAGTTGACATCAGGCATGTACTTCATATTATTGACATATTCTTTCCTTTGGATCACTGTTAAATCATATTCTAATAATAATTTTACAAGGTGATAGCTGCTGGGGGGAAATTGCTACATCATTTTTTGATGTTTTGAAAAAGCTGACTAAAATGTTACTTGTTGTGTGCACTCATGATATTATCCTGCTAATAACCTGTCCCATTGTGTTTTCTTAACCTAGGTATTAGAAAGAGGCCCACCTCCCAATGGATAAAGCAGTACCTGGTGGTTGGACATATGAAAACCATAGATTAGCTTAAGTAGGAAGGATTTACATATTTTAAAAGGCAAACAGAAAACAACAAAGAAGGTTTTGTTTGGACTCTTTCACAACAAATCACATAACTGGATTTTGAGTGTTTAAATCAGCATTAATCTGGCAAATTTTAAATACTTATTCATGCTGTTTTATGAATTAACGGTGTTTCAATTCTGTGGGTGCATAGTGGGCTCTTTCAAAGAACTCTGAATTTCTTATCTTCTTTTGAAATTGTAGTGCAAAAGAGAAAATGATATTTTAATGAGTGGGCCACAATTTGAACTGATTATTTTCTAAAGTGCTGAAATCAGCGAAACAATGATGATGCGCTTATATTTGCCTCAACATAGACTGATTTTCTAAACGGTGTTCCTATTGTGTGAACAGAAATGGATATACGTGGTGCTGAGGAAGGGTCAAACACCTAACTCTTGTAGTCACGAAAGATAGCTCTACAGCAGAAAGATGACGATATATGTATTCAGATAGTTACATCCCTATATAAAATTATGTTTACATTTTAGAATTACTAGATAACTTTCTTTCTGTTAATTGCTTAATTTCTCTCTGACTTGAGTCAACTTCTGTTTTGGAGTGAATTAGATAATTCCAAATTCCTGTTTGATACTTGTCGCTATTCCCCCCTGTCCCACTATGCTTAGTTTTTCTGTGGACAGAAATGTTTAATGTGGCAGTCTTTACATTACTATTGTGAAGTTTAGAGAAGTCCTTCCGATGACAGGTGTGATAAACGGGAAGCTAACATGCTCTGTGCGTATTTTACTGTTAGCTGGAATTAAGTCACTGCTGACACAGCAATTATACAATGAATCTCTAATATCACAAGCATCTTTCAAATACTGTAAAAAAAACAAAATACTGGAAAACCTTTTTAATTTTTTTTCAACTCTACTACACTTCTGAAATGTTCAGCTATTAGGGGGAATGTTAAATTTATATATATAAAACCACCATAATAGATGACCTACTGGGTGCAGTGCAGGGCCATCATCCTAGACTCTTCAGGAATTAGTTGTACACTTTTTTTGCGTATTTACAAAATCCAACCCAAATTAGCGAAGCACATAGCATTGCATACTTGAGAGGTTGGCGAGCAAGAGAAAATCAGGTCCTTTCTGCAAAAACAAGGACTGTGCGCCACAATGAGACCGCTGTGACCTTACTTAAAACTGTGAAACTGTGTACAGCAGTAGAATTTGGAGACTCTTAAATTCAGAAGGTGCAGAAAGAAATAAAGTTAGACTTTTCTTGGTGCTTACGCTGAAGTTTTCTTTCATTTACCAGCATTAAAATCTCAAGTAAGGTATCTCCTGTGCCAGAACGTGTCAGGTAGACCTTTCTAAGTGAGCTGGAATCCTGTCTTATGTGTCATAGAGTTGTAAGAGCTACAGTTACTAATCATCATACTGAATACACACTGCGGCAGAGCAAGTGGTGGGAGGGACCAGAGATGGGCAGTCGCCAGGGGCGGACAGTGCGGTACACATAATTCTCATCCACCTGAAAGCACACTCACACATAAGCGAATACAGACAGAACTTTGATTGAGCTGGTGTCTTATCGATAGGATTGCTTCTTTGATGTACCTCTTTGCCCTAGCTAGCATTTCAGTTTTGATACTGTAGAATGATCCTTTCAAATTATAATCATTCTGATAGAGATATTTTAATATACGTGCTTTTAAAAACAAAACAGAAACTACTGTCAGTATGAATACTGAGCCACACTGGCATGCCTAGATTTAACACCTTGTTTTACTAAGATTTTTAACTATAAAAATAATGTGGCTTTTAGATATGTAGAATAATAATTTCAATGAGACCGTTATCTCTTTACTCAACATTATGTTAGAGACAGTATAAGCCAGGCACTTACCTGCTACACATTGGAAAATAAAGTGACTGTCCCCAACCTTAGTAAGTATGAAAATTAGGCTCACCTTTTTCATTCTTAACTGGTAAAAGTGTGTCTACAGAATTTAAAATTTAAGTACTACTATCTGTCATGGCCATTTTTTATTTTCCAAATATTAAGTTAAAAGTTATTAATGATATACATGTATGTATTTCTAATAATTAAAATGCCTTTCAAATCCATGGAATGTCTTCCTTTTAAATGTAATTTGTCCTTTTTGTTTGATTTTTTTTCATTTAAGTGGCTGTTTATTTGTAAACATATCTTTTCTTTCAACGATTTAAAAATACTTTAAAACCTAAATTTAAGCATTTCCTATCTTTGACCCTTGGGAATCTGTGTAGAATAATGATAAAAATCCCAAGCTTGTCTAACCAAACTCTAAATTTTTAGAAGTACTAAGTGAGAATGACACAAAGATCACCAAGGATTGAAAAGAAGCTGGGCTTTTTACACTAACAAAGGCCATGAAGGAATGGGAGACAGCATAGTTAAGTGTACTCTTTGACATCTGAGTAGTATCATGATATGGAGCCTGCAGACTCCATCTCCAGTGGGACCATGGTATAGCTTGCCTAGTTCCAGAAAATTTTCTTCACATTTTATGTAAGAATTTAATTACAATTTCCACCGAATTATTCCTTAGGCATTCTTTGTAACAGTAGTGTGTTGCTCTTTAAAATATTAACGTTAGACACATGTGTGAACATCATTCTCTATGTTCACTAAAATTTCCTCCCCCCTGATCATTAATCTTCAGCAGATTTTATGAAAGTACTGAATTCTTAGTCACAAAGTATTCTAGAAATAATTTTGCTAACAGTATATTAAGTAATAAAACTACCCACTTTGTGTATGCTTCATTTTTTAATTCACATAGACAGTATTTTTAAAAATCAATGGCTTAAATTTTATTCTGAGTTACTCAGAGTCCTAGCCAACCTTTGAACACAGATTTTGTTAGCCTTCAAATTTAAACGGTGCTGAATTGTCTTAACTTGAATGTAAAATGGATTAAGGCTTAGCTCATGGGATACAAACATTTAATGTATGACTGCTTTCTGTGTGCTAGGGGACACGTCATTTGCTGTTAAATTGTCCATAATAAAGTTCAGTTTCTCCCAGTTGTTTTTCTGAATTGTTATTTGTTAACACACTGGTAACTTGTTTGGGGAGCTTTGATTTTAAATATCCAGACACAGACTCTATGGTGCCTTCTCACAGCCTATTTATCACCTGCTGTAACTGCATGTTTACGTGAAAACTGCCTTGAGTAAATGAGCTCAGCATCTGACATGGTCATTTGCTGTTGCCTACAAAAAAATAATCTGAAATTCATTTTTGGTTAAAACATTATAGCCATGTATATGGTTGATATTCTTGTTCAAGTGCTTTTCTATAGTAAATTTTAGTTTTGAAATTATAACTACATAATTTCCCCTTTCCCTTTCTACCCTCCAACACATCCCTTACCCTGTCTTAAAGGCATGGTATTTTTTCTTTAATTATTGTTAGTGTTACACACACACACGCACATACACACTCCTAAATACATACATACAATCCTCTCAATCAGTGTGATGTTACCTGTATGTATGTAACCTCTCAGAGTTGACCACTTGGTATTGGCTAACCAGTTTGGAAGCTTGTCCCTGTGGAAGACCATTTCTCCACTCTCAGTGTTCCCCAGCTGCTCTTTCTCAGGATTTGGACTCCACAAGCGTTTCCCCTTCTATGTTTGCACATCCATTGGTGTCAACATTGTTCAGGTCTTGCTTGCTTCAGCAGCCATGTTGATAGAATTTAATGGGTGTGACATCTCTGACCTTTCTATGAGACACAATCTTAAAGAAAATTCCCTGTTCCACTTTCATTCTTCTTAATTCATCTCCCACAGTGATCCCTGAGCCTTTGGTATTGTAGAAATTGTGTTGTAAATGTATCTGTTGTGACTGGGAACCACAGGATCGCTTGTTCTCTGCATTTGGTCAGTTGTGGTTTTCTGTAATGATCTTCATCTATTCCAAAGAGAAGTTTCCTCTTTTATGGGCAAGAACTATACTTAGCTGTGTGTATAAGGATAAATATTTAGTATGTAGTTAAAAACATGCTGGTTTGGTAAAATGGCAGGTATGATTCTTCAAGATCCATGACTTCACTAGTCCCAAGTAGTTAGCTAGGTTTCCAGTACTAGAAGTGGTTTCCTTCTTGTTGAGTGAGAGCTGATGGTTACTGCCAAGTAACCTTATGGTTATTATGCCATGATGATTGTTGTAGCTCATAGCCATGATAGCTGGGCAGTATGCTCCTCCCTTGGAAGCTTGCATGTGGCCTTCTGCCCCATAAAAGTTAGTTCTCAGAGAGGGGCCTTTAGGTCAATTCCAAGTATGTAGAGAGTTGAAGAAGGCACAGAAGGAAAGTTTGTAGCTAGCAAAGGTTGGCCTATGAGGTTTAAGAGTAGGCAATGTCTCTATAACACTAAGCACAAGTTCAAGAAAGTAATGGTGTATAAGAAGCAGTACCTTATATAGACCATTCAAGCTAACTGACATAGGGCATTACAGTAGCAACAGATTTTCCATTTAGACAAAAAAAAAAAAAAAAACAAAAAACAAACCTCCAAACAAACACAACCTTATATGGGGAGATACCATCTAAGATTTTATGAGGCAGATGTAGGAGAACTAAATGCCTGGTTTAAAAGCCCCAACGTCTAGATGAGGGTAATACAGCTGTTGACCTGAAATTGAAACATTTACCTATGTACCCTTACCATTTTGAAAATTCTAGAGCTTTATACTGAATGGACCAGTAAACCCTAGTGACAGCACATTTGTTTAAACTATGACTTACCTAATATCTTAAATTCACCTTGTAGTGCTAGTTCTCACAAATGAAAATTCCCACAAAATTGTCACTCCCCACTGGCAACACACCAAGAGCTCTACCAATAGCATACAATGAGATATACTGAGATAGTCTTTGTGCTTGTGAGCACATCGTCCACCCTGCAGCTCATGTATGAGGAGGAATTGTAATGTTTAAGTATCACTATTTAAGCAACATTTCTGAAGCTCTCTTTGCTATAGACATTGAGTCATCTGATGGCCCTGTACAAAATGAAAATCTTGTGAAAAACTTTCACCATCCTAGATACAGTCAAGGACATTTGTGAGGAGGAGGTCAAAATAACCCCAACCTAAGGACATGAGAGGTCAAAATAACCTCAGCAGGATTTTGGATGAAGTTGATTGCAATCTTCATGGGTGATTCCCAGCAACTCAAGGCTTCATTGAAAGGACAACTGCAGATGGAGGAATAGCGAGAAGCAGAATTGGAAGAGAAGCCTGGAGATGTGACTCCACTGGAGTGATTTTATGATGAGACATTAACAGATGAGGAGAATAGATGGATGATGGAAGATGGTAGGCATCTTGGAGTAATGTTTCCTGCTAGTGAAGATGCTGGGGACATTGCTGAAATAGCAACAAAGAATAAACTCAGTTGAAAAAAAATGGCATCAGATATAATTCCAATGTTTGTGAATGGCCATCTAATGGGTGAGATACCATGAAATAACACTGCCTGTTACAGAGAAATCCTTCACAAACCTGAGTCAAGCAGTATGTCACTGATGCCTTATTTTAAGAAACCTCTACAATCAGGTTCATCTTCAGCATTCTCCACCAAGATCAGTCAGCAGCTACCAACATGGACCTTCTACTATGAAATATATTTCCAACCCATTTAAAGCTAAAATTTGTTAGAATCATTTTCTGCAATAAAGCCTTTTAAAATTGAAATTATGTATACTTTAGACATAATGCATATTTCATAGACTATAGCTTATATAAGATAGTTTCTATTTGCATGGAGAAACCAACACACATGACTCACCGGATGGTGGTACTTACTCTATTGTAGTGGTCAGGAACCAAAGCACACCTCCTCTCAGGCATGCCACTAGGACATACTACAGTGTGAGTGCTGGGTAAATAGCAGTTGTGATGCAGTACTTAGGGAATCATGACAAGAAGATTATGATGCACAAATTCGGTACAGACTCATTTATTTTCCATTTAAATTCTGTTGAGTGTGGGCATGCAGAGCATGCCAGTATGGAAATTTCAGTTTCACAAGAGGCCATACACAAAAGGAATTTCTTAACAAACCACATCTGGCACATGTTATCTCTCTAGTGGAGGTTTTAGTATATATTACTATATGGAAAATTCTTCAAAGCCCTGCAGTAAAGGCATGACTTATATCTACCATCATTTCTCAGATTTTATTTTAATGTTAATTTTTTGTATTGTATAACTCTTATCCCACTACACTATTTTTGTTTAGGAGAGTGTTGGAGTCTCCATGTTAAATAATTTTAATTACACATATGCAATCATTTTCCAATTACTTACAACAAATACACAATGATGTGAGCATTTGACCTGTGGGTGTAAGTTTCTGAACCTTATCAACTTTTAACTTGTCTTGTATCCTAAAATTGTATAGTAAGTAGGACCTCTTCAGTGGGGAGGACTACACTGCCTAAACTAGCTTGCTTCTTAAGAAATATAAATCATCCTATTTATTAGATGACTTGACTGATTTGGTACTTCTTATTAGCATGTCTTCCTCTTCAAATATTAACTGTGTATCGCACACATAGTGAACCAATCATGTTCTTCATGGTTTTTTCATACATTGTACCTACAATTTAAGTAAATTTCAAGTAAAATTTAGTGATCATTACAGGAGCACGGAACAGAGAGATTGGAGTGAATGACTTGGAAAGAAGAAGAAGGGTGTGTGCATTTACATCCATATGTTTACTTTTTTTTTGTTTCAGTTACTTGTGGTCAGTGATGGTCCAAAAATATTAAATGGAAAATTCTGTAGATAGACAATTCATATGTTTTAAATTATCCAAATTCTAAGTAGCATAGTGAGATGTCATGCATTCCTGTTTCTTCCTTCCCAAGACATGTAACATGAATTCCTTCAGCACACTTGCACTGTATATGCTATTTGTTCCTTATTAACTTGAAAAGAGTGTTGATTACCAATGTTGGTTACAGTATTTATGTTCAAGTAATCCTTATTTTAACACTGGAAAGTGCTATACAAGCTTCCTATGGAGAGAAACAAACAGTCCTACCCAGCTGTGAGCCTATAACTCACAACAATGACTAGCATGTTAAGATATTCCTAAGTGTGTACAATAGTGGCACACAAATCTTCATGGTACTCAAGTGCTCGCTAATGGAACTTAAGGCCCACTCAACAGGAGGGCCTAGAAACAGCCAACTACCTATAGATCTTAAAGGAGAACCTGCGATTGTCACTTTACCAAGCCAGCATAATTTCTGACTGCATTCTAAATACTTCTCCTTTTACTGATAGATAAGTGTAGTTCTCCCCTCTCATCAAAGAAACTTCTCTTTGCAACAGTAGGAGACCATTATAGAAAACCACAACTGATCAAGATGGAGATAATAAATGATGATGTGGTATCCAATCCCAGCTGGAAGCCTCATCCATGATACCTCAACAATATGGCTGCCTAAACATGACCTAGACACATACAACACCAACTGACATGCTAACATGAAAGAGGAAATCTTATGGGTTTCCAACCCTAATCAAGGAACCATAGGCAAAGAATGCTGAAAATAGAAGGAAAAGTATTCCTCAGGAGTGAAGTGAATCCCCAATTGGATATCCAATACCAATTAGTCAGCCATGAAATCATGTACATACAAGTAACATTTGAATTAAACAAATTCTATTTGCATATCATGCATCTCTCTCTCTTTCTATAGCTATCTATATCTATCTATATCTACATAAATTTATAAATAAATATATATAAATTTATATATATATATATATATTATAAATTTTAAAATGAAACAGAGGCAAATAATCTTGGTGATTGAAGGTCTTGGTATCTATCACCTAGCTTATTAACAAGAAAGAAAATGCCACTAATCTGTGGCTTCAGCTAAAAATGTCCAGGGAAGGCACTTAGTAGATTTTGTCTGTTTCATGGAAACCATTGACACAGTGTGTATGGATTCTATGACTGGGCTGGATAGAGTCATGATGTGGCTTTTGGAATCAC